GACTGAAGAAGCACTGTTCTGACGCATTGGGGATACATATTCTTCCTCTGTAGGAAATTTCTCTTATTATATATTTTACTTGCATAAATGCATAAATTCTATGAGAATAATACAACCACACTTTTAGACACAATATAATTCAAAATGAAAATAACAGCCAATTTTTTAATCCCCTTAGGAATCCTTCAATAATTACATTCCCATTCATCATCAATTAAAGTAAGAATTATGTGCATTGTGTGTGTGTGTGTATGATTATTTGGGGAGTTGTTTATGAGTTTTAGACATATACCTCCTCCCTTGTAGTTTCTGCTTCCTCCAAGTGTCTTTTTTTCCTCTTTTTTTGTTTTTCGCATATCAGGGAAGCCTTTTTTTTTTGTCTTTTGTCTTTTTTCCGTGTCCGGCAACGGATCGCAACCCTCAGTGTTGCCCCCGTACCGGACCGGGGACCGGCAACGGGATCGCAAGCCTCGGTGTTGCTCCCGCGCCTCGCTCAGCCAGTGAGCGGGAGCCGGTCTGTATGTGGGATCTGAACCCTCGGACGGGAGCGCCGCCGCGCTTCCCAAGCGGCGCACTATCCAGTGCGCCACCGGGCCGGCCCTTAATAACTTTTTAAACTGCCAAAGCAGTAGTAATCTTTTTCTTCTATTTATAAGTTAATCTAGGCAATTTTCACAATCTCTAGCTCCACCATTTATCAGCTGCAATTTAGAGTAAAGACGGCACCAGTGTCTTTCATACAGATCTGCTATTAAATGGCGCTAAGCAACTCTTAAGTTTCTCCAAGCCTAAACTTTCTTTCCTGCCATTGGCCCTTGAAGTTTCCCTTTCTCATTTTTTAAAGGTCCTTTGTAATACCTTTACCTTAAGAGAATCACATGTGTTACTGTGCCAGTTTTCCGTAGTTTTTAATTCACTCTCTCAAGACCATCTCTGCTGAGTTAGAGACAATCTTTCTTTTTAGACAGGTTAAATCCCTTATTTCTTTTGAGTATTTTCAAATCATTTAACAAAATAAGTTTTAAATTAAATATATTGGGGCAACTTTTTAAATTATTCGTTACCTTTATGATCACATCCCAAATGCTGGAATGGTTAGCAGCATCAAATATAAAGAAGAAACAGATTAAAATATGAATGCTAAATGTCACTCCTGATGTAACTGATGCCTGTTAATATGACTTGACCAAAATTCTTCTCTGCTTATCTTTTCTTTGCACATGTTGTACTAAGTTCTTTATAAAAACAAATGAGATGAAAAAATATGTATAAATTACCACACACTTATAGAAATACAATGTTCTCATATTACAAATAAGAAACCTAAGGGTCAGAGAGACAGCCAAAAGTAGCACCTAGATATCCTGACACCTAGTATAGGAGTATTCAACTTCAATTTTGTGGATCAATTTTTATTTAGAAAATAGCAGCAATTCTTTTAGGAGTCAGATTAAAATGTTGGTAACTGCCTTGAGTAACATCAGCTATCAGGATAACTAAAACTGCAAACCACTGGACAAACAGTACATTGTTTGTGTTCTTTATCTTTGAAAGGATAGAACTAGGTGGGGAAATGAAATCTCCCCACCATTTCCTTAGACCTTCCAAATCTAGGTTATCACTGTTAACAGCATGCTGTATAACTCTCCCAACATATTCTATATTACACGACACTCACATGTCTTCTATGGACAGCAACTATTCTTTTTTTTTGGTGGCTGGCAGGTATGGGAATCTGAACCCTTGACCTTGGTGCTGTTCTTAATTGATACCCATATTGCACTGTACTGTTTAAGTATTTTGATATCACACATATAATTGCATGTATGTGTGAATATATGTTTATGCTGATATACACAGTACCTTCATACATAATTGTCTGGCCTTTCTGTGTGATAAATGAGAGCTTAAGTGATGATGTACAACCTGCTTTTAAGTGATAATTCAATAAATCCTATATCATATTTATACTGTATAACAATACTGGTGAGTATATCTGACACTCCTTTGCCCAAGAGTAACTTTTGCCCTGAACTTGGTAGCATGTCACAAGTTAGAAAAGGTGATAAAAATAGAAACACAAGAACAAGAGATAGCTTTTATAAAACAGGAATGTTTCCTACATAAAATTATAAAATGGTTTATTTCTAAAAACATATAAAAAATAAAAAATTCAAAAACATTCTAAAAGAAATTTATGCTAGCAATTTGAACTATACTGATTTGTCAAAGAATAATCAGTTACAAACCAAACCATAAAGAATGTTGGTAGTTACCGAATAGTTGTGCATTCTAAGCAGCAGCCTGTGCCTCTGAAAGGCTCTAATATTAAACAAGGTTCCATATTAATCATCCAAGATTTTCTATACCTTAAAATTATACAAGTATATGAGAAATCAAGTAGTGTAATTCTTTATAGAATACAACAATTTTCAAAAAACTGGTCTGTTTTTGGTTTCCTAAATGAAGCTAAAAACATTAAAAAAAAATAATGACCAGAAACATGATTACCATTTGCTCATATTTAATGGCATCCCTTTCAGCAATCTGAGCCGCCCTTTCTTTATTCATGTAAGCTGCTTTTAATTTCTTCTCCAATTCTCTGAGCTCAATACTGTAGGAGAAAAAAAAGACAAATTTAAATTTGAGGAGCATTAGAGAATTAAGCTTCAGAGAAAACTGAAGCTTAATTTTTAATTTTAATTTTCTCAAAGATGATATATAGCTGGTATCATTTTAGATCCACAGGAAAGATAAGTTAATTCATACATTTAGTGGAAGCCTTAGGGCATTACAGCTTAAAGTTTCTAGTTGAGAAAGACTGCTCTATTCCATTACACTCATCTATTCATTTATGCTGTGCAAATACCACACTACCTTAACTATGGAGATTATAATAAGTCTTCATATCCTGGAGAAGTCATCTCCAGTTTTGATCGTCTTCTTAAAGACTGTCTTAGCCATTCTTGGTACTATGTATTTCTACATACATTTTAGAATCAGCTTGTCAAACTTCACAATAAACAACTGGCTAGAACTCTGATTGGGACTGTACTGAATTCATAAATCAATCTGGAGAGTATTGACATCTGTATAATACTAAATCTTCAATTCTATTAACATGGTATATAGCCCTCCAATTATTTAAGTTTTTTAAAGTCTATCAATAGTGGTTTATATTTGTTTTGTTTTGGTTGTAGTAGTTTTATACATTTCGTTAGGTATTTATTTTTTATATTCCTGTACAGATTATCACTTTTTTTTTTTGTCTTTTTCGTGACCGGTAAGGGGATCGCAACCCTTGGTGTGGTGTCACCCGCACCGCGCTCAGCCAGTGAGCGCACCGGCCATTCCTATATAGGATCCGAACCCGCGGCGGGAGTGTTGCTGCGCTCCCAGCGCCGCACTCTCCCGAGTGCGCCACGGGGCCGGCCCCAGATTAGCACTTTTCAAATTTCATTTTCTAAATGTTGCTAATTTACAGAAGTATAACTAATGTTTATATACTGACTTCATATCCAACAATACCACTAAATTTACTTATTGAGTCTGATCTGTAATTTTTTTGGATTTTCTATATAGAAAACCATATCATGTGTGAATAATGAAAGTTTTATTCCTTTACTGCCAATCCTAACTCCTGTCATTTCTTCTTCTTGCCTTGTTACACTGGTTTGTAAGTCCACTACAATAATGAATAGAAGTGCTTACATCAGACATCCCTGTCTTCTCATAGTCCATTTTCTGTTGCTTATAATTGAGCACCTGAAACTATGTAATTTATAAAGAGATGAAATTTATTTCCTATAGTTTTAGAGGCTGGGATGTCCAAGATACAGGGGCACATCTGGTTAATGCCTCCTTCTTGGCGGGAACTATCTACAGACCCATGAAGACGCAAGGTACCACACAATGAGGGCTGGGTGAAAGTGCTTATTAACACACTCACTTGCTTTCTTTATAATGCCACCAGTCCACACCCATGATAATCCATTAAACCCATTACTCCATGAATGGACTAATCCATTCATGAGAGCACATTACTCACAATCCTAGCACCTCTTAAAAGTCCCACCTTTCAACACTGCCACATTGGGAACCAAGCTCCCACATTAGCTTTGGAGGGGACAAATATCAGACCACAGCAGCCATTAAGTATGACATTGCTGTCAGTTTTCTTTTATTCCTAGTTTGCTAAACTTTTTAAAAATCAGAGTGATGTTGATTCCTATCAACTAGCTTTTTCTGCTCATATAATTCCTTTACTAGACTGAATTTATTGATTTTTTTTAATGTTAAACCAACCTTGCATTCCAGAATTAAATCTGGTCAGGATGTATTATCTTTCTCATACACCACTAATATAATATTTCGGATTATAGTAGCTAATTCATGAGAAATATTACTCTATAATTTTCTCATAATATCCTATTTAGGTACTGATCTGATTAAAATAAATTGGGACATATTTCCTCTTTTTCTGTTCTGCAGAACTATGTAAGATTAATATTACTTCTTCCCAAATGTTTGGTAAAATTCACCTAGCCTTGTAGGTTTCTTTGTGGACAAGGTTTATTTTTTTTTATTTTTTTAAAAATTTTTATTGAATCATAATTGATTATACATATTTTTGGGGTTCAACGTTGACATATGTTGATTAAATCAATATTATTAGCATATATATTGTTACAAATCATACTTATTCATTATACCCCTTGTCCAATCTCTCCCTATTCCCCTCTCCCTCCCCCATCCCACCTCTGATAACCCTAGATTTCTTCTTTCCTTCTGATAGAGTAATGGTTGCTCTGTTGATTTGTTGCCAAGATGATCTATCCAATGCCAAGAGGTGTGTTCAGGTCCCCCAATATTATCATAGAACAGATGCTTCTTCTGTCACTCTGGAATAGGCTCTGTGGAGAGAGACATCCTCTTCTTTTCTCTGGTGTCTGCGGGTGACTCTCCTGTGTCAATGCACTCCAGTGGCTGGCGGACCATCTGCATGGTGGTTGTGGCGTCTGGCCACTTTTGCAGCAGCCATGGTTATTGTGGTGGCTGTGGTGGGCCACCCACATGGAGGTGATGTTTTTGGCATGCTCCTTGGTGCTGGTGGTGTGCCTGGTTGTGGGGAGGGGGTCTGTTCCCTGGCTCCATGCCTCAGGTCCCTGGGTGGGCCCTGAGGCACTGGCAGTGTGCCTGGGCCAGAACTAATTTTTTGTCCTTTGCTTACTTCTAAAAAGGGGGATCTTCCTGTGGGAACCAGTACTTGAACTGTGTGATTTAGCTAAATTGCTGCTTTACTGCTGCTTCCCTAGGGAAGGCTTTTTGTGCAGCTCAGGTTTTAATGATTGACCTTGTAGGTACTTCTGGCTCTCCAGAGACCCAGTGCACCTGGGTTGTATAGAAACTCTGATCTGGGCCTGAGTCTTCATTAATCTGCACCCCATACAATTCTTTATTGCTGACCAATCTCCTCTGAGTGGTCCTTCACTGATTGGGGTGCCGGTCAGCTGTCCTTACTGTGCCCCAGTGTTCCCCCAGTGGGCCCATCTCCCCCACTGCCCATGCTGCAAATACTTCCCATGGGATGGGCCATGCGCCAGTCCCTTGCAATGACTCATCAGCCTCTGAGTGGCTTTTTTTCATTTGTTGTGGCTCCTCAATCCTATGTGTGTCCATGGGAACCCTATTAGTGGTCTTGCTGGCCTGGGGGCCACCAAGGCGCTCTGCTCCTCTGCCGCCTCCAAGCAACTTCATCCAAAAGGCACAGCTGCAGCTTTTGCCAGTTCCTGCTCCAAGTGCTCAGCTGCTCCAGCCTTAAAGTGGCTGCAGCACAAAAAGGTCAGAGCAGTTTTTTCTTTCTCTCATCATGGCTTCTTCCACCTTCATGCACTATATAGGTCTCTCCTCCTCTTCCCCTGAGCTCTAGTAGCCCCAGCTTGGCTGTTGTTGCTTTTTTTATAGTTGTAAATTGGTTGATTTGTGGGAGGGAGTGATGCTGGGTACTGTCTATTCTGCCATCTTGACCAGAAGCCCCTTGTGAAGCTAATTTTTAAGCTGAGTCTGGAACAATAATTATTTCTAATACCTAATTATAAGGTGGTCAAATTTTGCTGAATAAGTCCCATTCCTTGTCCTCAAGGAGGTAGCACTAAATGAGGTGTCTGAGGATTGTTGGCCAATCGATACTCCAATCAATGGAAATGGATCAAGATCTTGGGTTATGAAAGCAGCTGCACTGGCACTCTTCCCTGGAAGAAGCTGCTTAAGTCCCAAATCTGCTGCTCTTCCCGACCAACTCCAGCATCACTGCCTCTACCTTGGCCGCCAGTAGCCACCAAGTGCCGCCATCTCTCTCATGACAACAGGCCCCAAGGTTTAAATTATAAATGGAATATCTTTAAAAGCTGTAGGAACATTTAGCTTCCCATTTCTTTTTTGTGCTAGTCAGTTTGGTAAAATGTGCTATCTAGGAATTTATCTATTTCATCTAAATTTTCAAATATATTTGCATAAAACTGTTCACAGTATCCTGCTATGACCCATTAAATGTATGATCTACACTGATATCCCATTATCTATTCCTATAACTGGTTATTTGTGAATTCTCTTTTACTCTTTATCATTCTTGCCAGGAGGTTATCAATTTTATTAGCCTTTTTAAGGCACAGTTCTTGGCTTTGTTTATTCTATTTTGTATTCTGACTCACTCACTTCTCCTCTCATCTTTATTATTGCCCTCCTCCTACATTCTTCTACATTCCAGAAGGGAATTTGCTGTTCATTTTCTTTGGATGGAGTCTTCTTTTCTAACATAGTCATTTCAGATTAAAAATTACCCATGAGGAGCAGCTTTAGCTATATCCCACAAGTTTTGGGATGTTTTTTGTTTAATTCCAAAACTTTTTTTATTGTGGTAAAATATGTATAACAGAAATTTGCCATTTTAACCATTTTTAAGTGTCAATAACTGGTGTTAATTACGTTCACAATGTTATGCAACCATCAACACTATTTCCAAAACTTTTTCATCACTCCAAACAGAAATGCTGCACCCATCAAGTAATGACTCCCCATTGGCCCTCCTCAGCCCCTGGTAATTCCTAATCTACTTTTTGCCTCTGTAAATTTCTCTGTTCTAGATAGTTCATATAAGTGAAATTATACAGTATTTGTCCATTTGTGTCTACCTTACTTCACTTGGCATATTTTCAATGTTCATTCCTGTTGTAACAAGTAATAGACCTTCCCCTTTTTATAAGTGAATGATATTCCATTGTACGTATATACCATATTTTGTTTATCAACTCATTTGGATAATGGACACTCAGGTTGTTTCCACCTTTTAGCTATCGTAAATAATGCTTCACTGAACACTAGCATACAAGTATCTGTCTGAGTCCCAGTATTCAATTGTTTTGTATGTATACCTGGGAGTGAAATTGCTGGGTCATATGATTAACTCTATGTTTAACTTTTTCTACAATACCTACATCATTTTACATCCTGAAGATTCCAATTTCTACACTTTCTTGTCAACACTTGTTATCTTCCATTGTTTTTATTATAACTGATTAGGTGTGAAATCGTATCTTGTTGTGGTTTTGATTTGCATTTCTCTAATTACTAATGATGTTGAGTTTCTTTTCATGTGCTTATTACCCATTATATACCTTCTTTGGAGAACTATTTAAGTGCTTTGCCCATTTTTGAATTGGGGTTTTTCTAGTTGTTGAATTGTGGGAATTCTTTATACAAGGGTACTTCAAAAAGTTCATAGGAAGATTCATATTATATTTTAATTCTATTTTTCCACGCACTTTTTGAAATACTCCTGTATATTCTGGATATTAAATCCTTATCAGAGATACAATTTGTTCTTCTGGCCTAAATGAGTTCTGAGCCAAGTAAAACAGAGTTAAGTACACTGTGTCAGTCGTTAAGGTAGCCCTGAGGTAGGTTAGAACAGATATACACAATAATTTGTGAATAGGTCTGTGCTGCTCCCTCCCAAACTGAGGACCAGGGTCCCACACTGCGAACATGGGCTACTATTTTCAAGACTGCCTCTGAGCTGATGGGAATGGGGCAAGAGCAAGTAAAAACACCACCAAGCTTTCCTACCACTTTTAAATTGCCCTTTTCTTGATTTAGCATTTGCTTGGTTGCTGTAAACCTTTGGGTGTTGTCCAGAGTTCGTTCTAACAGTTCCTGCTTGTTTTTTGATGTTTCTGGTGGGGATGGGGTGGGCAGACAGGAGCTTGGAGCTGCCTACTCTGCTATTTTGCTTATGTCACTCCAATCCTACAACTTTTACTATGTGGTGTTTTCATTGTCATTCCATTAAAAACACTTTCTAATGTCAATTTTGATGATTTTTTGGCCCAAGGGTTATTTAGAAACACATTTTAAAATATCTAAACATACAAAGATTGTCTATTTTTTTATTACTGTTATCTAGTTTAATTCCAACTATGCCCAGAGAGCATACTGTGTAAGAATTAAATCATCAATCTGTTGATGGTTTTGTTCTGGTATAACATGTTATCTATTTTGGTAAATGGTTCAAATGTATTTTAACTACTAATATAGCTGGGTTTAAATTTATAAGCTTAGTATCTTCTTTCTATTTTTCTTCCCTGTTATCTGTTCCTTTTTCCCTCTTTTTTGCTTCTATATTGGAAGTTCCCAAGACCACTCTCAGGTTAGATGATTTACTAGGAGAACTCACAGGACTCAGCTATAATCATACCCAAAGCTATGACTTTTTACAGTGAAATGATACACAGAAAAATCGTAAAAGAAAAAAGGCTCATGGGAGTGAAATCCAGAGGAAACCAGGTGCAAGCTTCCTAAAGTCCTCTCCCAGTGGAGTCAAGCAGGACACACTTGATTCTCCCACCATTGCGCTATGATAACATGTGTGAAATCCGTCTACCAGGGAAGCTCATTAGAGATAATTTGGGGGGCATATACCAAAATTCCAGACTTCAAGAAGGAAAACAGGTGTTCAGCATAAACCATATTGTTTTAGGTTTAGGCACAAAGTTTAGGCATAGTGAGTCATTCTTACCAGTTAGGGTGGTGGGAATATTCTCTAAATCCAAGTATCCAGATGCCAGCCAAGGACCAAACTTGCAAGCAGGACTTTCTAAGGACAGCAGTTTCAAACCTACTATGTTAACTCTTTTCTGCACAACCTCTTTTTGGAGTCGTCCCCTATGATCACATTCTCTCCTCTATTAATTTGTTAATTATACATTCTTTCCCAAATTTTTATTACAGGGGTTACAGCACATTTCTTTGTTTCAAATCTAATAAAATTTCTCCATTATTATTTACTACACAATGAAAGATTCTTGACCACTTTAACTTCATTATTCAATTCCTATCATACTTCTGGTTATACTTTTAATTATTTACCTATTTTAAATCCCAAAAGAAATTATAAAAATGTTTATACGCTTTAATTTCACCTAAAAATTTTACACATTTACCTCCTGTAGTTCTGAAATTAAGCTTGAGATCATCTGTTACTTCTATCTAAAGAACAACTGCTAGTGTTTCCTCGAATGCAGGATTATTAGCGATCAATCCTCTGTTCTTGTTTGTCTGAAAATGTTATTTAATGCTCATTTTTAAAATCCATCTACTTTATTTTAAGAACTAGCAGCTTGATTGTGAGTCCAAAACATACCAGCAAGGAACTGGCAATAGAATTAATAAGGGAAAACTGTCTCTGTCTCTTCTTTAAGCTAGATTTTGCTGAATTTAAATACAAATTATATATGAGGTACTTGTTTTTGCTTTAATAAAGCTGTGTGTTAACTGTGTAATTAATACAGTTATTAATTTTGTATCAATATAACTGTGCAATTATAATTATTGTTAGTCCCATAACTAAAATAGGACTCCTAAATATAAGCAGTGAGTTTCCCAACTCTAGTTAAATGTAGTGATAAAATTAAACTGTCTTTTAAGTATTTTCTTGGATTACAAAATAATGTGTCCAAAAGTCAATTAACAAAAGAGTCTCATGATTTCTGAACCTGAACAAATATTTTCAAAATAAACATCAAAGATTTGTAAAACTTGCCCTGCATTTTAAAAATTTCTTTTAAATTTAAAAAGTCTAAACTTAATACAGAGTTTGAATTACTTAGGATACATTTTAAGCACTACAGCAAACAGTTCCCTGAATTTAGACCTTCCAATTTTCAGATGAATACACCAATCTGAAAAATGGTCCATTTCTGCATGTCAATCAAAATTTTAACATGCCTGATGCACAATATAAAAAACTCTTAGCAATTGTGACACGGCTGAGAGGCGGCATACTCTATTTGAAAGATGACTCAACTGAATGACTTTTGCCTTAAGTCTGAAGAAAATTTTCACAAGGTACACAATTCTGGATGGGTTATAATTTTCTTTCAGCTCTTTAAATCCTCTTTTTTCTAATTTCCGCAGTCTCTATTCAAGTTAGTCACATCAGTCACACTTCTTATTGTTGCTTCTTTGATGGTAATAGTCTTTTTTGTCTGACTGCTTTCATTATTTTTATGATTTTCTATGTCATTAGATTTCAAAAGTTTGACTAGGATGAGTATAGGTGTAGTTTTCATTATTTATTATGTTCTAATCAGTGGCTTTATGTCTTTTACCATTTTTGGAAAAAAAAGTGTCTCTTCAAATAATGCTTCTGCATCATCCTCTTTCACCTCTACTGCCAGGACTAAAATTACACATCTGTTAGAACTTTCTACCACAGCCATATTTCTTTCAAGTTCTGATCTGTATTTTTCTAAACTTTTGTTTCTTCAGCCTTATTCTGGATATTTTCCAAGAACTAATCACAAATTATCTCTTCGTCTATGTCTATCTAATAAAATCTAATTAAGTTCTTCATTATTGAGCTAAAACATACACTTGAGTGCACATATCTCAAGTGTACAGGTTGTAGAATGCTGTCAAACACATTGCCATATGCTTTCAACCAACTTCACTTAACTCTCAGACATACTTTTGGAATCAGCAGAAACCTCCAGGGGAAATGCAGCTACAAATGACAGGCTCACATTCTGGTTTCCTTCCTCTCCCAGATTTTATTTTTACACTTTCTCCAGACTTTCTGTTCTCAGAGGGAACATTCATCTGAACCACCTAGTCTGCAACTGCTAGAAGTAGAAAGTTATTCTATTTAGTTCTTACTATCAGTGAATAAGACAAAGGCATAATTAAATAAATATTTCATCTTCAGATGTCATAAAACCGTGAGTGACAGCTAACAATGACTGGAGAATTAGGGTCCAAAAAGATTGTTTGAGAGTAGAACACTATACAAATTTGAGCAGTAATTCTAAATTTTTTTCTAAGGATCAGTTACCTCTTAGAGAATTTTATTAAAGTTATGAACCCAGAAAAATATACATGGGTACATCTGTCAAACATATAAATGTAATTTAATAAGGCTCAAAACACCTAAAGCTCAACCATAGTTCCTATAATATTTTACAGAAGTCCTGCTCAATTAAGATAAAATGTAACAATTATCAAAGTAAATTTCCAATATATTCAACTACATAAGTACAAGATGGGCATTTACTTGGCCCTGAGTTTTGATCAACAGTGACATGGCTGTCCCTAAAAAGTAATTTGATCTTAAGCAGCATTAAGATACATTCTAAAACAATGTGGTTAACAGTCCTACCATTTAGGGTACCCAGCAATCTATCCTGAAGTATTATACATAATTGTGGGGCAATATTTTGTTAAGGAACACAGCTTATCTAAGTTATATCTACAGAGAAAACCAAGTTGTGAATATAAGCTTGAAGCCATGTTACATAAGGAAAAACTGAAGGAACAAGAGATATTTAACTTATAGAAGAAAACATTTAGTCAGTTCATATACATGAAAGGATGTCCTAAAGAAAATAAATGAATGGAAGTTACAGGGAAATTAATTTTAAAACAGTAGAGGGGGAAAAAAGATTATTTAAAGCTGAGGCTAAATGAAAAAAAAGTTCCTATTGCAGTTACTAGAGGTGTTTGAAATACAGGCTGACCAGCCGCCTTCCAGAAATACTGCAGGAAATTTATGTAGGGGCATAAAATTAAATTAGATATCACCTAAGGTTTCTCTTAAGACTAGGATTCCATGAGTCTATTCTTTATAAGACGTCATTTAAAAATTCATGTTTAAAGGAAGGAGCAGAAGGGACTGATATTTCTTTTTCACTATAAATATTAACACTTACTTCTATGAATACAATTTCTTTTCTCAAATGAATATTTATAGGACTTAAAGCAATAAGTACTTCCAGGCAAAATATTAACTAAGTGCAATGACACAAACAAAGAAATTCCACTTTCAGGTGCTCAGAATTACATAAAAGTTTAGAGACAAAGACAAAATAAATGAAATTTATAGAAATCAAGTTACCTGTTTTCTCTTACTTGTTGCCTCATCTTCTCATCCTTTAGACTTTCGTGTTTTAGTTTTGCCAATTCCTCAGCTAATTTTTCTTCTTGTGCAAGCTGGAGTTCCCTCAATCTCTTGTTTTCTTCTGCCTGAATAAAAAAGATAACTTCATTACTAGTCCTCCAAAATCAGACTGTTTCTTCATCAAGGTTGAATTCATTTGTTTTATAACAGAAAATGAAAATACTTAAAAGCATTGGTAGAATATTTGTTTTGCTTGAAAATATAAAATACTATTTCAATAAATACTTTTTTAAACATTTTGTCATGGAAAATTGTAAATATCACCAATAAGAAGAAGAATACTAAAATACACCCCAGGTACCCTCACCCATCTTTTCAAATATTATAAACATTTTTATCTACCCCTCCATTCCAATCTGACTTTTTTCCTCGTTATCTTTCTGCTAGAGTATTTTAAAACAAATCCTAGACATCAAGTCATTTATCATGTAAATAATTCACTATGAATCTCTATAAGAATTTTTACACAACAAACATGCCACCAACATGTCTAAATAAATTAACAATAATTCGTTCATAATGCCTAATACCCTATCCATATTCAATTTTCCCCACTTGTCTCAAAGATGCTTTTTTTATAGTTGTTGTTCAAATCCAAAAAAGGTCCACATATTGCATCTAGTTATCATTTCTCTTAAGTCTCCTTTATATTCTGTAACAGTCATCCCCCCACACTTTTTCCCCCAAGCCACTGATCTGTTGTGGAAATTAGTACACATGTCCCACAGAATGTCCCACATTCTGCATTTGACTGTTTCCCCACTGGTTACTTGGGTTAGGGGTGGGATGGGTGGACAGAAAAGAGATGAATATACTTACAAAAGAGAAAAATAAGGGATCCTGTGGTCATAGAACTGTTTTGTACGCTGACTGTAGTGGCGTCTGATACACAACCCTACTTATACAATAAATTGTACAGAACTAAATGCACACAAACACACAAATAGCACAAAACGGGAAATATGAACAAGATTGGTAGACTGGAATCACTGTCAATATCCTATTTGTGATACCATACTATAGTTTCGTAAGATGTTACCTCTGTACTTCTGGGAGACAAAGTGTACAAGATATCTAGGATGTCTCTGCATTATTTCTTACAACTGCACATGAATCTATAATTATTTCAATAAAAATTTTAATTAAAAAAAGCAATAGTAAGTGCTGGCAAAGACACAATGCAACTGGAATTCTCATACATTACTTAAGGAAATGCAAAATAGTATAGCAACTTTAGAAAATGGTTTGACAGTTTCTTATAAAATGAAACATGCACGACTACCCTATGACCCAGTCATCCTACTCCCAGATACATACCCAAGAGAAATGAAAACTTACATTCACACATAAATCTGTAATCAAATGTTTATAGTGACTTTATTCATAATCACCAAAAACTGGAAACGACCCAGATTTCCTTCAACTCATGATAAATAGACAAACTGTGGTTCATCCATACAATGAAATAGTACCTAAACCATTCAGCAATTTAAAGGATACAACACCATGGAATCTTAAATTTGTTTTGCTAAGTAAGAGAAGCCAGACCCAAAAGTCAACATATTGTATAATTCTATTTATAAGACGCAGTAGAAAAGGCAAAACTATTGAGACAAAAAGAAATCAATGGTTTCCAGGGATTTGGGGGTGGGTGGTCAACTATAAAAGGGTAGCATGAGAAGATTTTGGCTTCACAGGATTGTTCTGCATGACATTGTGAGGGTGAAAACAAAAATCTATGCATTTGTCAAAATCCAAAAAATTCACAAGGAATGAATTTGACAATATGCAAATTTTAAAAGAAAACAACCAGTACATCCATACCACACATTACTTAACACTCAGCAATAAAAAGAAACAAACTATTGATCTACCCAACAACTTGGATGAATCTCCAGGGCATTATGCTGAGTGAAAAAGTCTGCTCAAAAGATCACAGACATGATTCCACATGTATGAATCACACACATGATAACGTTTATATGACATTCTTTTTTTTTTTTTCTTTTTGTCTTTTTTACTGACCGGCAATGGGATCGCAACCCTCGGCGCTGCGCCCGCACCATGCTCAGCCAGTGAGTAGGAACCGGTCTCCACATGGGATCCGAACCCACGGTGGGAGCGCCGCCACGCTCCCAAGCGGCGCACTCTCCAGTGCGCCACCGGGCCGGCCCTATATGACATTCTTGAAGTGACAAAATTATAGAGATGGAGAACAAATTAGTGATCGCCAGGCATAGTGGGTTTGAAGTGAATGGATGTTACTATAAAGGGGTAGCATGAGTGAGATCTTGTGATGATGAAATAGTTCTGTATCTTTTTTTTTTCCTAATAGACTTTATTTTGTTTTATAGCAGTTTTAGGTTTACAAAGAAATTGAGCAGGAAGTATACAGATAGTTCCCATTATAATCCTTCCCACAACACACCCAGTTTCTCCTGTTATTAACATGCCATATTAATGTGGTACATTTGTTAAAATATGAGCCAATATTGATACACTATTATTAACTTAATTTTACATCAGGGTCCCCTCTGTGTTGTATAGTTCTACGGGTTTTGCCAAATGCATGATGTCATGTATTCACCATTACAGTATCATACGGAGCAGTCCTGCTGCCCTAAAAATCCTCTGTGCTCCACCTATTCATCCCTCCTTCCTCCCCTGAAACCTTGACAACCATTAATTTTTTTTTCATAGTTTTATATCTTGATTGAGATGATGGCTGCACAAATCTACACATGTATAACACAGATTATACACACATACTGTACCAATGTCATTTTTCCAGGGTTTGATATTATACTACAGTTATATAAGTTATAGCCATTGAGGGAAACTGGCCAAAGGCACAGTGGACTTCTCCATACCATCTTTGCAACTTCCTGAGAATCTATAATTATTTCAACAGAAAAAAGTAAAAGAAAAAAAAAAAAAGAAGAAACCAACCAGATGTAGGAGAAACAATAACAAGTTAACATTAATATTAAAAATGAATCCCATAACCACACCAAAGGAGATGCGTAGGAGTGGACATAACTTTGGAAAACAATATTTTACTAGATATTGTGAGGCTAAAGACAAAAAGAACTGTACCCAAGCCTGTATTATATAGTAAGTAAATTTGTTTCTCACAGGGGTGCAGATTAGCGTTCCAAAAACTACTTTATTCGTATACTTGAGTTGAAAGAACAAGTAAATATAATGTAGACAATGAGAGCCAGCGTTCTTTCTGTTGGAAAAAGCAGTTACAAATAAGAGAAGGGAAAGGCTAAAGTGACTCCTGTGGTCTGGACTGGAGTCGGCAGTACCAGTGGCATAGGCTCATGGTCTTTCATACACACACACACAGAGGCAGATATAAAAGCAAATAAAGATGTGTGTGTATGCACTGGTTAGTGTACATATATTTTCTAGTTCTTTCCACCTGGAAGGACTAGAAGCAGTAAAACCCCAGTAATAAGGAGCACATTTATCATTCAGACCTTGTTTTCTAAATACCATTCTCCAATAAAAGGAACCCAGTGTCCCTGGAGAAATGGTTGATTCCAAGGTAAGAAACTAACAAGTTGATCCCAAAACATCTTATGGTAACAGAAAGCAAGTAAATGCTTATTTAAAAAAAAAAAAAGATGGGAGGATATCATACGGGCAAACGAGAAAGACAACTTGAGTTTCCAAAGGCCAAATTTGGAACAACTTAAGCACCAATATAAATAACAATTGTACTGAATTATAACCAATAGAATAAAAGTAAGTATCAGTGAATCCATACTGATTATATCAATAAATAACAATAAATATACGGGGGAGAAGTGACATTTTTTTTCTTATAGAAGAACTCCAATTAACAAATGAAGAAGGAATGAGACAAACATAAAATTACCACTTGAACTCTACAGGAATAATTGCTGAAAGCAAGATTAACCAATGAATGCTAACATTAGTGGGGAAAAGTTTAAGCACAAACAGGATATTCACATAGTGTCAAAATATTTCCTTCAAAATATTTAGTAAGTATAAAGTGAAAAACAGTAACTTCACAGAGGAGAATCCTCGTATAAACCAACCTTAAACAAGTGATCAAGGTTAATATCAAGAATAATACATACTGACATCATCTATCCCCTCATACAATGCACGAAAAGGACATTAAGGTCCTCAATCAGTTGACTTTGAGTTAATCACAAGATTGTCCTGGGTGGCCTAACCTAATCAGGTTCACCCTGCAAATGATAAGGAGTGGCTGAAGTGACTGCCCAGTGGACCTCAGAGAAGCAAACTGCCATGTAGCAAGGCATATTAGCAACCTATGGGAGATGAGAATCTCAGTCCTACAACTGCAAGAAAATGAATACTGCCAACTTAAATGGGCTGGAAGAGGACCCAGAACAACAGATAAGAACACATCCCAGCCAACACCTTGATTGCAGCCTTTTGAGACTGAACAGGGAACCCAGCTACACCATGAGCTACATACACCAAGAGCCACGGTTTAATTCCAGTCTGAGTCTGAAGGCCTGAGAGCAGTAGAACTGATGGCACAGTTCCTGTTCAAAGGCAAATAGGCTCAAGACACAGGAAAAGCCAATGTTTCAGTTTGAGTCCAAAGGCAGGAAAAAAGATTTCCCAGTTTGAAGGCTGTCAGGCAGAAAGAATTCTCTTATAAGGTGGAGGGTCATACTTTTTGGTCTTTTGGGGCCTTCATCTGATTGGATGAAGCCCACTCATATTAGGGAGGACAATCTGCTTTACTCAGTCCACTGATTTAAATGTTAATCTCATCCAAAAACACTCTTGCCGGGGCGCCTCCCACTCATAAGATTAAAGCCTGATAAAGATCTTTTAATGAAACACGGTGTTTGCAGGGCCTCATCGTGAAGGGATGATGGCAAGGCCTCATCGTGGGAGAAGATGCTGGCGTTCCACCTTGATTTTCTGGAGCTCTGTGTGCTTGTTATGCTTTATTACATTTTATTCTTTGCTGCCTCATAACTATCGCTCTGGGAGACTTGGAAGTAGGATTCAAAATTATACTAAAATATTTAATCATACTAATGATACTTATGATTATGGATTTTCAGGAGATGGCTTATGGCAGTGGGGCCCAGAAGGGGACAACGAACCTATGTAGGCATTCGTCTTGTCTGGTGCCTGAGAGTCTGGCCTGGCTGCTTGGAAGGAGTTAATGTACAATCTTTTGTTTTACAATAGAAGTAGAAGTTAAGTTAAGCAAGTTAATTTTTAGAGTGTTTATTTAGGAATAAAGAATAGTTAGATGTAGGTGTGAATTAAGTTTTAATAACGTCATAGAAAGTCTATTGTACCATGGATGTAGTTTCGGTAATAATTGCAAGTGATGAAAAGTGATGATTATATGGGACCAGTGGGTTGTAACGTTCTTGCTCAAAGGAAAGGACATTGTAATTGTCTTTTCTGGGAATAAACTGTAATGCTATTTTTCTTAGAACATATGTCACTTACAAAGAGATATTATGATATTGTTCATTGATTATTTTATGATTATGTAGCAAATAAGAAAGAAAAGTATAAAAGTCTGATGCTTGCTTCAATAAATTGTCAGCATTCAGCAGATCCCTTGAGTCTGTGTGTTTGTTGTCCCAGCATTCAACAGATCCTTTGAGTCTGTATGTTTGCTGTCTGCTCCATCGCCGACGCTGCCCTTCCTCCCTTTTGGGGGATCCCTTACCAGTGGGGACCTTTACAATCTCTGTGCTGGGGCTGGTCCCCGGCACACTCTTGCAGAAACGACCAGAAAAATGTTTGATCAAATACCTGGGCACCCCATGGCCCAGTCAAGTTGACACATAAAATTAACCATCACGAGCCTGGACAATTTTGTTCTGACAGAAAGCAAGGATTCTGGAAGAAAGCAAGGAAGTTATCAAAGATTAAGAGAGTCTTGTCAAAAGACACCAAAGCAATACAAAAGGGTATCCACAAGCCAAGGATGAGATCACTTGAGCATCAAAAAGAATAACAAATGCAATTAATTTAAGTATATAAAGACCCATGAGTCTATGAAGATATTCTTAAAGAGAAAAAGTACAAAACTAAAGGAAACAAATTTTTTAAATAATCACAACTGGCAGACATCAATGGAAGTAATTATAACACCAAATCTCTACTCTGAAAATTAACTATTTATACCCCTTTCAGTAAGAACAAATAACTCTAGTTGATGAGGGAAATTCCTTAAAGAGGAATTTCAGCTAATTAAATGTGAAAGAAACAACAGAATTAGACAACGAGCATTTTGCAACCTCTAATGAAAGAAAAGATTCTTTTGTCAAACAATAGATGAAAGTTTGGTAGAAACCTTTATAACACTGGCATCACTGTAAGTGGAGCAACCAGACCTCATGTGCCCCTTGATGTGACACAATGCCAAGAATAGCATCACCTACGGAGTAGCTTTGCCAAAATAACTGGACCTCAATCTAATAATGTCTTTAGGGCTAACTTTCATTTAGAGGAAACATAAGAGATAGGGGAACAAATTAAAAGAGCCATGAGGAAGCAAACAGATAAATTCAGAATCCTATAAAATGACTGGCCTAGTTTCCTTTAACTAATTAAAAACATGTTTAAAAAAAAATGATGGACTGTTTTAGATTAAAAGGGACTTAGACATAACCAAATATACTATACAAACCTTGCTTGAATCCTGATTAAAACAAACCAACTGCAAAATCAAATTTTTGACACAATCTCAGAAATTTTTTTATGGCATAGGTGAGATAATGGCATTATAGTACTCCATGAAAGAAAACATCCATATTTTGTTATATGCATACTGAAGTATACAGAAGGGAGCTGGTATGATACCTGGGATTTTCTTTAAAATTAAGGGAAAAATAAGAATAAAAATAATAGAAAAAAATCAAACCTTTAGGATCTGGCTGCTCAGAGTTAAGAAAAAAAAATCCTGTCTAAGCTTTCGGAATTTGGAACACAGAGAAATGGATACCACTTTTAAAACTTGCTTTTGCTATTCCTCACAACATCCTACAAAATGCTTAACACACAGCAGGCACTCAAAAAATACTGAAATATCAGAACACCTTCGTCCACATTTGTGAGAACTCATTTCTTTCATATATCTCATTTATCGGTTTCCCTTTTTCTACCACCCTGATCCCTGAAAATATTTAGAAATTCCATTGAAAAATTATCTCCACCAAGTCGCAAATGAAAAAAAAAATGTAAACATAATAGTAAAATTTACCTTTTGAATGGCCTCTTCCATATCCAATTCAAATTGCTCATTCTGTAATAATCTGAGGAATCTCCTGCGCTCAATTCGGTCATCAATTTCACCCTGCACCATTTGGTTCCTGATTTGACTCTCTATATTTTTCAGCGCTTGAACATGCAATTTTTTGCGATAGTTTTCATCTACTAATTTCTGACGCCTTTCACTAAAGCTCAAAATTCTCCTTTTGGAAGCCTATAATGGAAAAAATAAAATTAAAAAAGTATGCATACTTCGATATTCCAAAATCCAATTTTTAAAAACATGTTAATGTAACATGTCAGTAACAAATGACCCAAAAATAGGTAACATAATAAACAAAGGGTATTTGGCTTCCTTCCTAAATTTAGACAAGTATACCTGATAAAAGAGTAAAGTTGGTAGATTAATATATTGATATATCAATTAAATAGGTACTTTTTTATAGGTGAGGCACGAAAAGTAAGAGTAACTTTACCCAAGATTCCGCAGTTAATAAATAGCAGTTCTAGGGTTCAAAAACATAAAGTTGAGCTCTGTGGACGCGGGAATTCCTTCTTTCCTCACTCCACCCCCACCCCACCCAACCCCAAACCCCAAACCCCATGGCCATAAAGTGCAGTTCAGGAGCTGGTCAGGTTTCCCTAAGATAAATGTAATAGATCAACCCGCTGCTACTTGTCCGTTCGCTCTCTCCTCGACTTTATTTCTACTCATTTGATCCGAGCTTCTATCGGGCAGATTTAAAGATTTATCTAACACAGTGTGGGTAAAATGCAGAAGAGGCTGAGCACCACTGCGAGCGTCCCTTAAATAGTAGCACCCGAGGCCTCTAACAGCAAGTACGAGTTTCCCACTCGATCCTCAGGTTAGGCACTTCAAGTCTATTTTTAGAAGCAGGCGAGCTCTAAACTATAATTAAATCAACAAATAAACAAGACGTTTCGAGTTCCCCGACTGGCTCACCATCTTGGCTGACGAAAAATGCTCCTCGCCGGCTCCCCCGGCCACCACCTCCCGCAGCAAAGGTTGCTGCACCTGGCGGCACGCTCCCCGGTGTTTACGCCGTGTCCCGGCAACGGCCGCCGCGCGCCACCCGCCGGACTAAGGCCGAGCCGCGCAGGCCGCGGCCTCCCATTGGACTCGGGAAGAGCCAATGGGCACTGAGCTTCTTAGGAGCTGGCGGCCGGTCTAAACGGGGCAGGCGGGAAATTCAAATCGCGTATCCTGACGCAAGCCCTTTGCAGTCGGCTAGTGAGCTCAAGATTTCCCTCTAGTGGTTAAACTCTGTGGTTTGGGTGGGTTTAGGAGCCAGTTGAGGCCTGTGGAAACTATTTACAGAGATATACTCATAACCCTGTGCAATCCATGGGGCCAAAGGCAATTGCCACATACACAGCATCCTGTGCCCCCAGTGCCTACTCTGCCAGTGCTGATTGGTTTCATCTCCAGCCGTGGGAGTCCCAGGTCACTATCCCCTTTGCTAGGTTACTGTGAAGTACTGTGGGTAGCACGTGGTCCCTATTGGTAAAAGGGACATAAAATGTATGAGCCACATGAATCTTATTCTGCGATGTGCTCCAGGCACCACTGAGAAAGCAGTTAGGTGCTGACAGGGTGTTGGTCTGGTTCATTTCATCGGCAGGTTAGACACTAACGTACATTTTAAATTGAAAAATTAAGAATTTAAGAACAAGAATGGATCAGAGAAATTAGCTTGCTTATTGATTGATTGATTGATTGCTGTAGCAAATATTCAGCACAGCCCATTTCCTAGCCTTCAAACTGAAGGCCTCAGTTCCTGTCATCCAATACATCACATGTCCAGCTCTCAATAAAAAACTACAAGGCTAAATTCAGGTTGCAAAAGGCAAGGAAAAACAGTTCAAAAGGTAAAGTAAGCATCAGAACCAGAATCAGATATGACACATTTGAGGATCATTAGATGAGAATTTAAAATAATTATGATTAATATGCTAAGGGAAGGAAGATGTGGACAACATGCAAGAAAAGATGGGTAATAGAAGTAGAGAGATGGAAATTCTAAGAAAGAATACTGAAGAAATGCTAGGAATGAAAAGCACTATAACGAATGAAGAATGCCTTTGATGAGCTTATCAGTAGATGGGCACAACTGAGCAAACAGTGAGCTTGAAGGTATGTCAATAGAAACTTCCCAAACTGAAATGCAAAGAAATTAACAGCAAATAGATAACCCTACTGGGCTTTCAGACTTCACCTTAGACTCAAATTCTTTTCCTACATTAGAAGATACTTGTGGGGGCCGGGATGTGGACATTGCCAATGTTTCTGTCTTTTGGGGGTCTTACTATAAACCCAGGTACCACAAAAGTAAAATCAACTGCAGTGTGTTTACAATGCAAAACACTTCGAATCCAGGGTGCGACTGTTACATACATTAAATCCCCTGTTAGTTTAGCAACCTCCATGGGAACTCTACAAAAAAATGTGGCTTACGTATAGCTTTTCACAAAGTGTTCCCCTATTAAAACTTGTTCACTGGATGGTCACCAGAAATATGTTTTGAACACTGATGTATCCTAAGCATTTAAAATAGTGTTGGGCACATGGTAGGTGCTAAATAAATATTGTTAAATGAACAGATGGTTGAAATAATATTACTGTTATACATATACAGAAAGCTGTACCCAGATGTTTATTTTGAGAATTAGTATTCTTCATCAGTCCAGTTATAGTTTTAGCAATTTTGCATATATTTTCAAAGATCAAACTTTTGCCTTCATTAACTTTTTCTATTGTTTTTCTATTTCTAAGACATTGATTTCTGCTCTTACTATCATTATTTACTTCTTCTTGCTTGCTTTGGGTTTAATTTCCTCTTCTTTCTCTAGTTTCCTAACATGGAAGCTTAAATCTTTTTTTTTTTCCTTTTTGTCTTTTTTACTGACCGGTAACGGGATTGCAACCCTCGGTGTTGCGCCCGCACCGCGCTCAGCCAGTGAGCGGGAACCGGTCTCCACATGGGATCCGAACCCTCGACGGGAGCGCCGCTGCGCTCCCAAGCGGCGCACTCTCCAGTGCGCCACCGAGCCGGCCCTAAGCTTAAATCTTTAAGACCATTTCTTTCAAATATAAACACACAGGCACTCTCAAAAAGTTCATGGAAAATATGTATTATAGAAAAACTATGCATGAATTTCAAAAATTTTTTGCACCAAAATAAACTCATACTAACTTGCTAAATAATATGTCTGAACAGAATCTAATTTGAGGCACTATGAAGGATAAGACAACAGTTTAAAAAGAGCCCCTACCAGAGCAAAATGAATTCCGTTAAAATTGAAGCAAAAACAAACATTAAATTTAGGGTGAATTTTGTGTGGAAGAATGACAAAATTGTTGACATTTTATGAAAAATTTATGGGGACAATGCCCTACAGTGGCTGACCATCCACATCAATTTGCAAGTAAAAATTTAATCTTGTTCATGCTCTAAGAGGATCAACAATTAACAGTAGAAACAATAGCCAATACCTTGGACACCTCAATTGGTTCAGCTTACACAATTCTGACTTAAAAAATTACAGTTGAGCAAACTTTCCACTCAACGGGTGCCAAAACTGTTGCACCCAGATCAGCTGCAGACAAGAGCAGAGCTTTCAATGGAAATTTTAAACAAGTAATAGCAAGATCATGAAGTATTTTTTCAGAGAATTGTAACAGGTGATGAAATATAGCTCTACTAGTACAATCCTGAAGACAAAGTACCATCAAAGCAATAGCTACCAAGAGGTAGAAGGGGTCCAGTCAAAGCAAAAGCAGATAGATCAAGAGCAAAGGTCACAACAATAGTTTTTTGGGGATGCTCAAGGCATTTTGCTCGTTGACTTTCTAGAGGGCCAAGGAACAATAACACCTGCTTTTTATGAGTGTTTCAAGAAAGTTAGCCAAAGCTTTAGCAGAAAAGTGCCTGGGAAAGCTTCACCAGAAAGTCCTTCTCCACCGTGACAGTGCTCCTGCTCATTCCTCATCAAACAAGGGCAATTTCACAAGAGTTTCTATTGAAAATCATTAAGCACCCACCTCTAAATCCTGATTTGGCTCCTTCTGATTTCTTTTTGTTTCCTAATTGTGACATTATGATATTTATATACTTGTTTTTGTCCATAGTTCCTGACACATGCTATTATCTGACCTTCTCTTACTCTCCTTTCACCTGCTCCTTTTTCTCACTGAGGCAGGAAATTTTCTGACCTACCTTAGCTGATTGGAGGTCATAAGACCCCCATTTAAGGAGCAGCCCTGCCCCATGCCCCCGGAGAAAGGAATGCTGCAGAGTGGTCAAAAGAACCTGAACAAACAGGCCTTGCAGCATTCCCCCACCCAGTCTGCTAATGTTAGATCATACCCTTTCAGTCCAATCCCATTTCTACACAGTTGTCTGTGTTTCAACCATGCCTATGTAATAAAGCACCCATAAAAGCCCAAGAGCACAGGGTTTGGCGAGCTTCCAAATAGCTGAACATGTGAAGGTTCCTGGAGAGTGGCTTACCCAGGGAGGGCATGGAAGCTCCATGGCCCTTCTTTCATACCTCGCCTCATGCATCTCTGCATCTGTATCCTTTGTAACATCCTTTATAATAAACCAGTTAAACAAAATTATGTGTTTTCCTGAGTTCTGTGAGCTGCTCAAGCAAACTAATCGAACCCAAGGAAGGGGTTGTGAGAACCCTGATTTATAGCTGGTTAGTCAGAAGTTCCAGAGGCCTGGATTGTGACTGGCATCTGAAGTAGGGGGCAGTCTTGGGGAGTGAGCCCTCACTCTGTGTAATCCGACGCTATTTCCAGGGAGATAGAGTTGGAATTGAATTGGAAAACACCCCATCGGTATCCACCAAAGAACTGTTGCTGGCTTGCTTGTCAGTGGGGAGAGATCGCACATATTTAGTCACATAAGTTGGTCTTCTGTGTTGCTCGTTGTTAAGTAAGAGTATAGAAAAAACACAAAGTGTTTTTCCTATACACTCTCATGCTAATCTTTAAAAATCTTTAAAGGGCACCCATTTTTCTTCAGTGAATATGAAAAAGGGTCTAGCCAATTAGCTCAGTTGATTAGGGCACAGTGTTATAACACCATGCAAGGTTGAGGTTCAGAGTGCCACACCAGCCAGCTGCCAAAAAAGACTGCATTGACATAGTTAAATACCCAGGAGCCTCAATTCTTTAGGGATGGACTGAATGGCTGGTATCATTGCTTACGAAATATCTTAAACTTGATGAAGTAATCTCCATCCATGTGTATTCTGGTGCTGAGAAGAAAAGTTTATATTTTTTATTTTTGTCTTTTAGTTCCACTTTTTCACAAACTTTTTAAAGTCCCCTTACATATTATAAATTTCCCTCTAAGCCCTGCTTTAGCTTCTTTCCACAGATCTTGATATGTTGTATTTTCACATTCATTCAATTTACAACATCCAGACTTCTTTAACCCATGGTGTGTTAGTCTGTTTTGCATTGTTTATAACAAAATACACAGAACTGGGTAATTATAAAGAAAAACGACATTTATTGCTTACAGTTTCTGAGGCTGGGAAGTCCAAAGTCCATCTGGTGGTGGTGACAGTGGCCCAGGGGTCTCACATAGCAAAATGGTGGAAGCAGAGAGAACAGAGAGAAAAACAGACTCTCTTTTTTTTAGCCCTCAGAACCACACCCCTGACCACCATTTTTAATCCATTCAACTGCATGGTCCTACAATCAAACCACCTCTTCAAGGCTCCACCTTTCGATTACCATAGTAGGATTTCCCACCCTCTTAACAGTCCCAATGGGGGCTAAGTTTCTAACACATAAAACTTGGGAGACACAATTCAAGTTTCAATGAGTTTTGGGGGGCCATAATTCAATCCACTACACATGGGTTATTTAGAAGTGTTTTGTGAATTTTCCAAATATTTCAGATTGTTCAAATATCTTTCTGTTATTAATTTCTAGCTTAATTCCACTATGGTCAGAAAACACACTTTGTATGACTTCAATTCTTTTAACTTAGTTGAGGTTTGTTT